TGTTTACGAAACTAAACTATTGACATTTTTATCTTAGTGACTTTTATGTAAAAATGGAAATGGAGATGGGCAGGACATGTTGCAAGAATGGAAGACGATAGTTGGACAAAAAAATTGCTTGAGTGGAGACCACGGGCTAACAAGCGAAGCCGAGGAAGACCCCCAACGCGATGGACCGACGACCTCAAAATAATCGTGACCAATTGGATAGCAGAGGCGCAGAACAGAAGCAGATGGAAAAATCTAGAGGAGGCCTATGTTCAACAATGGACCACTCATGGCTGATTGATGATGATGATGATGACTTTTATGGTGTTTGTTAATAACTCAAAACTAATTTTTCGGTATCACTTAATCTCTAGAAATAAAAAAATGATGTTATGTTGGGCTTTTCGGCAAATATTAAAATTTTACAAACCTTTTCGAATTATTGGTGCATATGCTGGTTTCTGGTCCGACATACCAATCAAGGATTTCGTTCTGTTATATTCTATTGTAGTGGAGGGTTTTTTAATAGTGCCTCTTGATGTATATATATATATATATATATATATATATATATATATATATATATATATATATATATATATATATATATATATATATATATATATATATATATATATATATATATATATTGGATTTCAAATTTCCGCGGGAGCTATATGTGATTTCAGTTGTTTTCTGGGTTTGACTCCGCGTTAAGTAATTTTGGTTTTTAGAAAAACCATTGTTTTGACGACGTTTCGGCAAGGTCACACTTGCCATTGTCAAGTCAGATTAGTTCTGCTTCGTCTTGATGTTTCAGGAGAACTGAAGTTCGCCTGAAACATCCAAGACGTTCTTCATTCCTCATTCTATATCCATTGCCTTTACGTACTGCTTGTATTGTTTCGTCCATTATTATATTAAAGAGAAGTGGGCTTAACCCTCACTGTCTGACTATGTCTGAAGCTTTCTACTCAAGAAATCCAAGTGTTTCGACATTTCGCTATACAAACGATTGTGTTAAACATGCATTATCATCCGCATATTTAAAGAGAGCTATAACCGGTAATGTATGTCTGCCTGTAAACTAAAAATGATTCACTACTAACACATGCAAAATAAAACTGCCTGAATTAATAAGTCAAAGGTTTAATGTCTTTATTTTTAAAGTTGTATAATAATTTGAAATATAAAATCACAAGACAGTGTTACTCGATTTTCAGTAAATGATGAGTTGCATTTGGAATCATCACTATAAATTTGAGATGTTTAATATTAAGTAATATTGAATTGTATTCAATATTATTTTGCATTGCTTAGAACAACTGTAAGCTGTCTATATTTGGCGCAAGTGAACGACTCAATTATTATTTGTTTTATAAAATATTAGTACATTGTTTACCGGGTAGGAAAAGCTTAACATTCCTTTACGACTGCGAAGATTGCTAAGTCGAGGCGCAAGCCGAGACTTAGCAACACAGAGTCCAGGAATGTGGCTTTTCCTACGAGGTAAACATACTAGTTTTCCGCAAATCGTTTAAAATTCGACAGATATTGATTGATTTTAAAAAAACGCGATAATTTTATTCCCAAATAAATGGTGCTTTGAAATTCCTAATAAAATTACTTGGGTTACTATGGAAACGTATTGAGGTTGAATTGTCAAACTTTTTCTATCATTTATGTAGAACACTAACAACTGTATGGAAATATCATTTCCTTCAGGAAGTCAGGACTTCCTTACTGTAAGGAAATGTCATTTCCTTACTGTAAGGAAATGATATTTCCGTACAGTTGTTAGTGTTCTACATAAATGAGCGTCAAGTTTGACAATTCAACCTCAATACGTTTTCATAGTAGCCCAAGTAATTTTATTATTAATTTCAAAGCACCATTTATTTGGGAATAAAATTATCGCGTTTTTTTAAAATCAATCAATATCTGTCGAATTTTAAACGATTTGCGGAAAAATAGTATGTTTACCTCGTAGGAAAAGCCACATTCCTGGACTCTGTGTTGCTAAGTCTCGGCTTGCGCCTCGACTTAGCAATCTTCACAGTCGTCCAGGAATGTTAAGCTTTTCCTACCTGGTAAACAATGTACTATTTTTCATACCCATGTACATAAAAATTATATATTGAAAAGTTCATGAATTTAGTATACTCAATTAGATTTTAACATTTTTTAACATTCTCCATAGATTTTAAAAGGTAAGTTTATTTAAAAATGTTGCAAATAGTTTTTTTATTGTAAATAAACAATATTGAACATTTTAAAATTATTTATAATTCTAAACATATTTTGTTTATATTAATTTTCAATGTCAAAAATAAAAATATTTTACTCTCGAGTAAAAATCATATTTTAAAACACTTCATATACAACTAATAAAAGTTGATATCTAATGGTATATGGTATACATTAGTAAATACAGAGTGGCCCAAACCTCTGGAAACAGCCAATTATCTCGTAAAGTGCTTGTCATAATTGTACAAAATTTGAGGTCTATTTTGGGATACGGAGATATTTTGCTACGGAGATACGGAGATATATTATTTGATATTTGCAATATTGCCAGATTTGCCGTTTCTCTTATATTATTAATAACGTTGCTTTTTTATATTTAACACCCTGCACATTCAGTCATTATTGGAATCTCCTATTCAATGTAACTTTAACTATATGTAACACTAATGATTTTGTGTAGTCTAGAAGGTCTTAAGTACATAAAACAGAAGTCTGGCACCGCCTATTTGTCTCAATTTTTTTTTAATACTAACTATTTTCAACTACAGTTGTTAATCGTAACAATTAATAGATTACAACAGTTTTTAACATAATGGTTATTTTATCAAGTGTTTAAAATGTGCTTTATTTGTTAGTTGACAGTACCTTACTCGATGGTAGAATGCGTATACCACATTTCTCCATTAATGTCTAGAAATTATTCGAGATTCATCAATAATTCGTTGCCTTAGCTCTGCAAGACTTGCTGGTTTAGTTTTGTAAACTAAATTTTTCAGCTATTCCAAAAAAAAACTCTTTAGGATTAAAATCAGGTGAACGTGGAGGCCATTCGATTCTATCTCGTCTACCAATCCATCGTCCAGGAAATATTTCATCTAAATAACGCCGAACATTTACACCAAAATGAGCTGGAGCATCACCTTGCTAAAACCATATCTGATTAAAATTTGCCCCAAACAAGTTTCTAAATGTAGATAGAATTTCATTTCTAAGTAACATTTCGTACCTATCTGATATTAAATGTTCTTGAATAAAAAACAGCCCAATTAACTGAGTACCTACTATACCCATCGAGCTAAAAGACAAAAGAGGGAATATAAAGGTAGTGAGGGCAAAACTATTGTTAGACAGGAAGTGCCGTCTTAAAAGGCCACTTTAAACAAGGAAGGGGAGTCTTTGCTTGTTTAAGAAATCAAATTTAGTTGGGTTATATTATTGTTTGTCCCAACTGTCACATGAAGTCTTACTTATATTGAAGTTTTTTAACAATTTTGTCACATTTTAGACTGTTTTTGTTAATATTTATTTAAAGTTTCTCGTCTAAGACACATTTTGAAAACTATTTTATAGCTATAGTTAATAAAAGTGTCGGAAAATTTAAATTTGGCGCATTCGCATTTCCGGATATGTCCGCCATCAAAGACCACTTTTTTGGTCTCCTTTTCATAACGATTAGATTCCCTCTTTTGTCTTTTTGCTCGATGACTATACCTAACCAGATATTTAGTTTTTGTGGTCTGTGAGTGTGATTTTGACGCATCTAGTATGGATTTACGCCACTCCAGTACGTTAAATTTTGTCGATTTACAATTCCACACAGTGTAAAGGTTGCTTCATCGGAAAAACATATTCTGTTAACGAAATTTCCATCATTTTTAATTTTATTTATTAATACCTCTTTGAACTATAATCAACGATCGAAGTCATTTTCACCTAATTCTTGCAATAAGTTAATTTTGTATGGTTTCAATTTATTCTGACTTAGTACACGTAACACTGGAGAACGACCTACATCATGTACTTGTGCAACGCTGCATGACGATGTATGTGGATCTTCAACAAAACTTTGCATTATTGTAAGTTTTGTTGTCATTCATAACTCTTTTCGGTCTACCTGATCGATATCTATCTTTTACTTCTCCAGATTCCTGAAATCTTTACAGTTTTTTGTATCGTCGAAATATGAATAGGAGAACTGTTTGGAAAAGTATCATTGAACAAGTTGGCTACTTCACAATAACATCTTTTTCTGTCACCGTACCCTCTTATCTTTAGAATCGTAATAGACAGGGTCGTGAATTTGAAAACCCAAAGTTACTAATAATATAAGAGAAACGGCAAATCTGGCAACATTGCAAATATCAAATATGGAATCTCCGTATCCCAGAATAGGTGTATGAAACGAGTATGTGAAACGAAAAAAGTAAATAGACGTGAAGTTGTTGAACTTTAGAAAAGATAGTAAACTTTTACAGTAGATCATATAAAACATTGTTTATAAGGATATAATGTTACTGTTTAAATAAATATTTAAAAACCAAAATTAGCCAAATCAATTCAGTCGTTTTCGATTTATTATTAAAAAGTTATAAAAATAGAAAATGACGTTTGTTAAACGCCAGTTATTAATATTTTAGAACTACATGGATCAAATAAACTAAAACAGTAGAGGTAAAGTCGTATAAAATATTTTTTTAATTTACAATTAAAATAAATAAAGGGCATTCATCGAAATAAAAATATCCTATCTCCCAAGTTGGACCAACGAATACACTTTCATAAAATTTTATTGCAATCGTTTCAGTGGTTTTTAAATATTAGCTTAGACATAAATCGTGACACAAGATCGTTATTTGTAAATATATAAAAAAATGTATAAAGCACCAATATAAATTCATATACACTATAAAATTATGTAAATATTTATTTATTAATACATACTCAAATTTTGCTTTTCAACAAACTAATGTTTTTCTCTCTTTCAGGTGGCATAGCAGCTGCTGTAGTAACTGTAATTGGTCGCCCTTTGCCTACAATATCTGAAACGACAACGGCATTTACGAACATATCTTCGAACAACAGCAGTCCTGAGAAAACCTCATTCGCTAACGGTCTCGAAGCTGATCTTCCAACTACAACAGAATGTAGTGTAAGTTACCAACCCCATCATTACCCTATAAAAAGGAAAACAAGAGATGGGATGGACTCTAAGAGGGAAAGAAAGGCAGCCAAAACATTAGCAATTATAACAGGGGCATTTGTGCTCTGTTGGTTACCATTTTTTATAATGGCTGTTTTATTGCCCATAAATCCTAACGTCTTTGATAAATATTTGGTGTCTATATGTCTATGGTTAGGATATTTTAATTCAACGCTTAATCCTATTATATATACTATTTTTAGTCCAGAGTTTAGGCACGCTTTTAAGAAAATTCTTTGCGGAAGAAATTACGCTAGAAGGAATAGGCACTTTGGTGTTAGAAACTTTCAATGATGGAGGCAAAGTGGTCGCTTACCTTCGGATACGGATCCGCCAGTGGCGGCGAGGTGAGTATAGTTATAACTATGTACAGTTTGTATGTTTAGGCATTATTTTAAGTTTATAAAAAGTATTTTTTGAAGGTAAAAAGAAAATTATTATGTGAATAGCTATAGTTTTTAAATGGGAATCAAACGCCTTAATTTTTACTTTAAAAACTTATTTTACCTGTTTTGTTTTAAAAGTTGGTTTTTGAACGTTTAACAAATTATTAGTGTGCATTATTTTATTTCGTTTTAATTTTGTAACATGTTAATTCAATCTTTAAAAAGCAACTCATTTTATACACAGTTGTCGTGATTCTTTGCATTTTTAGTTATATCACACAATTCTTTCTTTATTTAGAATCAACTAGTGTATTTCGTCCTTTACAACAAGCGAAAAAGTGAACACAAAATTTTAAGAATTGATGTGATTTTTTGTTCCTTTTATTAGAGATTTAAAATTACCACAATTGTGGTAGTAAAATTCTTTACCCTGTATAAATTCGAGTTCGCTCGCTTGTAAAAATAGTTTTTTATTGGGTTAAATTTGAAGTGCCATTGACAAGTAGGCATTATCAATAATTGCTTAGTGCTAAACGCGATTCTTTGTTTATGACATTGTAAACTGTAAAACTTGTAACTGGAACACGCGCTTATTAAATAATGTTTACAATTTTTTTTTTTTTTTTTAAGACGAATTACATGCTATGATTTTTTTCTGACGGATATTCTCAAGTTAAAGTTGATTTCATGTAATCGAATGAACAATCTTATAAGTAAAGTCGTCCCAGGAGCGCAACTCAACAATATTGGCAATATCAGTCATCTACTTTAAAATGCATAATGTATGTCTGAATTGTCAATATAAATGAGTCAGATAAAATTAAATTATTAGAAGAATTTTTCACTATGTAACAAAAAACAAAATTTGTTTAATATACTGTTTGTATTTTGAGAACGATTTCCGAAGTGGAAATTGAAACGTCAATAAACGTATTTTTATCTTTACAAATTATATTAGTAAAATATTATTATATAAACAAACGCACGTAAGTTAAATAGCTGGACAATAACGGCAGTAGATCATTATTATTAAGAATTAAGAATGAAGAGTTAAGAGTGGAAGCTAGTGTTGTCATCCGTCAAATGGGTACTCTCTCTATTGTTGTACTTAGAGAACCAATAAAGTAATTATCAGTATCCAGTGAGTTCGAATTAATCAACCACATGCAGGGGGTAAACTACCACTAGAGTTCTACTGTGTGGAACTCTTGATGGAAGCAATCCTATAAACATTATAAGAATAGTTTGATATAAGGTTGAATGCTCGAATAAATGAACTTTCAAAAATCAAAGGCAAATATCGAGCACAATTTTAACAATTAAATCTTGTCCAAGTACTTTCGCTTACTACAGCATCTTCAGGGGTATTTCGTCAAATTTGGGCTATCCAGCAAGCGAAGGATGTGATAAACATGAATTTTAAATTAAAATTATACAAAACACTACACTAAAACAAGGACAAACAGTTTAAAATTAATTAAAATGGTTCTACGCTCTACATTATTTGTCAGTAACAGGAGCGAGAATCTCTCTCCTGTTACTGACACCGATTTGATATCGATGGTAAAATATCAACCATTGAGCCAAGGAGTACGATGTTTATCAGTCATCGATGAATATCCCGCATCCCTAGTCTCAGTTTCAGTTTTGCTTGTCGCATCGCTGAGTGTTCTTTACGTTTTTATTCTTTTTATCGTGTTTATAGTTAATACTTTCAAGAGTTATTTTCTATATAATTCTAGCGTTGTTTATATTTTATATTGACATCAATATTGATAAGAAAAGAAAAATTAAATTAGAAAACATGGAGTTTCAACCTGAATGGACAGCTTTATATTGTTTCAGTTTGCCAAATTGAGTTGGAGCAGTACCTGTTTATTTGATTTGCCATCTGACTGTGGCAATAATTAAAAGTTCGAATGTTAAACGGCATTAATTCGTAGAAATAAACTTAAGAGTTGACTTTCAAATTACGCTACATCTACGGAAATTATTAAGCGATCAATGACCGATCAAGAAAAATGTTCTGAGGCTTCTTTACGCATTTCCTAAGTGCTTGCCAAATATATGAAGTCATTTATTTACGTCAGACGCGGCTATCGTTAAAGGGTGTTTTCTGGAATCAGGAAATTCATTATTTGAAAATAAAAAGAATGATGTCGATACTATTCAGCGTATTCCAATATCTGCTACTTCAAGTACAAGGAATACACAGGTATTGGCAGATGAAACATACAAAATGTTAAAACAAATCTTGGCTCTCACCAAATATTTTTGCTTTGGCGTTGGATTAGTTATGCGACATTACAGATACAGCACAGCTTGTAATTTTTGGGGGTACCTGGACAGAACTAGTGAAGAGTTCGTTGAAGAACTTATGACTCTTTTGACAATATCAGGAACCACTACAGAAGAGAATTTACACAAGGCTGTGGTTATTTTGGCAAGGATGGTTTGGATTTAAAAAAAAATATATTTCGATCACTAAAGATGGCGCTGCAGCGATGGTTGGGTGTGGAAAAGTTTTGGTTCAGCAACTAAGTAGCGATTCCATGTGCAATAAAAATACAATATCGCATCATTGTGTTATTCATCAAAGTATGTTTTATTGCAGTTTAAATCCAATTCTTTAGAGTAAAATGCAAACCGTCATAAAGATAGTGAACTTTGTACGTGCAAAATTATCTTTAAGGCATCGTCAATTCAAGGTTTAGTGCTTAAAAGATTCCTTACAATACTTGACAACATAAAAGAATTTCTGTCCAATATTAATAATGGAGCTGCACATGACCATTTGGGCTTCCTCTTGGACACAGAAAACATTGAAACTATCGCATTTTTGGTAGATATCTTCAGATATCTGAACTTCTTGAATTTAAAACTAAACTCCAAGGGAAGACTTTTTTTGAACTTTTGTTGGATATTAGAATTTTTTTGAGGATATTAAGGCAGAATTTTAAACTTTCCTGTCACCCGTTTGTGATAGTAATAAAGATATTGATGTTACTTAATTCTCACGTTTTATTAATGAACTTGAATTGGAATGTAAACAAACGATATGCTGATTTCCACAAAACTGAAAATGTTGTGCAACTGTTAAGCAACAGTTTTTTACTCAAACTTAATGGTGTACGGACCAGCGAAGCTGGTAATGGTTCTTTAAAGTAGGCTGGTAAGCTGTAAATGTTTAAATAGGTTTAGATATGTTCCATAAAATTGTTAAACACTATAGATGCAGAAAGAAAGCAACCAGAAACAGTATCAATAAACGATTAAATTAAGTTCAGTTCAATTAAAATACAAATATTTTAAACAACGCTGCAAAAATGTACTAAACAAAGACGGGAGAAAAAAAAATATAATAGCTTTATAATCACTGCGTTACCCAGAATGATCTCCCAAAAGGGGATGGGGGGGGGTTACAAGTATTGGAGGGTTTCTGGGTAACCATTGGGTATAATTGGTGATTCCTGCTCTATAGAGTCTATCTTAATGAGGAACTAAAGAAATGGAGGAGATTATGTTTTGCAATAGGTATATTCTTAAACGACGACACAACCCTGCATATGCTCCATTTCGCAGACGATCAAGTAATCATCGCATAGGGCCAGAAAGATATGCAATTTATGACAAACCGAATAATACAGGAATGCAAACTATGGAAATGTAATTTCAGCATATTTTAATTATTTTTATTTGAGGGAAAAGATGGAAAAATATGGAGGCACTGAAACACAAATCAAAGCACGAGTAATAAAAGAAAAAAAATAATAAAGCACACTAAACGTACTAGGCTGGTAAAAAACTGTAAATAAACAGAGAAAGAAATAGCTATATAAGAGCATTTTTAAAAGCATTGTATTTTATAAAAGCAAAACTGGGCAACTCACTCAGAAAACAGAAAAAAGTCTGTGTACAGAAAAATGCATTTGGCGCAGATCAGCAGGTGTATCGAGAATTATGCAGATAACAAATGACGGAATATGACACACTATCGAGAGAATATCCACCATCATAGCAGAAATACATCAAAAATTATTATCATTATATATATATATATATATATATATATATATATATATATATAAGTATACATGAAGTAACAAGAAGTCGAGAGACCTCTTTTCGATAGCAAATTAGGTGAACCGCAAATTCAAAACCTCTTACTAGAGGCTTTTAAACAACGCTAGAAGTATCCTTTTACTTCGACATGCATCTTCGATTCAACTTTGAAAAATACTATCTTTTTCGCTGTTTACGTAGAGAAAGACGTTTAAATAAAAGTAAAAGATTGCATTTTATTTCAATGAAAAACCCACTATTCCTCTACACGTGTTTCGGGTTATTAAACCCATCATCAGGAACACTTGTGGAAGTTCAAACTCAAAATGAAATGCAGTCTAGTATTTGGTCATTATAACCAAAATAACAGCCAGGTACGCTAGCAGCGACATCTATACGAAGTAACAAGAAGTCGAGAGACCTCTTTTCGATAGCAAATTAGGTAAACCGCAAATTCAAAACCTCTTACTAGAGGATTTTAAACAACGCTAGAAGTATCCTTTTACTTCGACATGCATCTTCGATTCAACTTTGAAAAATACTATATTTTTCGCTGTTTACGTAGAGGAAGACGTTGAAATTAAAGTAAAAGATTGCATTTTATTTCAATGAGAACCCCACTATTCCTCTACACGTGTTTCGGGTTATTAAACCCATCATCAGGAACACTTGTGGAAGTTCAAACTCAAAACGAAATGCAGTCTAGTATTTGGTTATTATAACCAAAATAACAGCCAGGTACGCTAGCAGCGACATCTATACGAAGTAACAAGAAGTCGAGAGACCTCTTTTCGATAGCAAATTAGGTGAACTGCAAATTCAGTCTCTTACTAGAGGCTTTTAAACGACGCTAGAAGTATCCTTTTACTTCGACATGCATCTACGATTTACCTTTGAAA